CATTCTTCTTGGGATGACGCACCACCTGCCTCTTCACTGACGTCATCATCATCTACCATCTCGTCGGTAGTCACATCAGGATCCATTATCACCTCCAGGATGTCGTCGTTGGTGGTCTCGGAGAAGCCTGCAGCTGTAACACTGCGCAGCTTCTCTGGCAAGGTCCACTGCTACTGCAACAGTCTGAACCTCACCAGTCACAGATTTACTCTGCCTAACACCCGGAATACCTTGCAACACATGTCTCCATGTGTGACGAGCAGTTGTTACAGACAGCTGATCCCATGCCTCCACCAAGAAGTCCACAGCTTTCTTGATGTTGAATATTCTCCAGAATTGTTTGAAAAGTATTTTTTGCTCTGCCAACTGTTGATCGTCGTCGTCTTCGCTCTTGCTATCGGTGGTGGTGTCACTCAGGTTACGCAACTCTTCCCTGGTGTTGGTGTAGTCGTTCAGGAGCTTGATTTTTTTCGTAGAGAATGCAGCTTTTACATTACAGATTAACTCTTGGTCCATGGGCTGTAATATAGACGTAATATTGGGAGGAAGGAAGACCACTTTTACGTTGGGGTGACGATCTAACAGTAGGGGCGAGTGTCCTGGTGCGTTGTCCAGCAGCAACAAAATCTTGAATGGCACATTCTGTTGCTCACAGAATTTCTTCACATCGGGAACGAAACAGTCATCAAACCAGGAGAGGGACAGTGTAGAGAACATCCACGCCTTACGTGCGGTCAGCCAGTGGACATTTAGCTTGGTCATGTCCATGCTCTTGTAGGCGTGCGGCTTGTGTGCTGTGTGGATCACCGATAACTTGAGCTTACAGGTACCGGAGGCATTGGTGGTAAACAGGACGGTGATGCGCTCCTTCTGCAACTTCCGGTCCCGACACTTGCTGGCATTCTTCACAACGAAGGTCTTGGAAGGTAGCTTTTTCCAAAAAAGACCAGATTCGTCCATGTTAAACACCTGGTCGTCGGTGTACTGTCCTTCCTCCATAATCTCACGTAAAAACGGAGGAAATTCCCTAGCCACAACACGGTCAGCACTAGCTTCTTCACCACCAATGTTGATATTGGTGATCTTGTTTCTCATCTTAAACCTCTGTAACCACCCAGAGGAAGCATTAAAGGGTTTGGGCTCTGTAATTCCCATCTTTCGTGACACTGCAGCTTACAGTTCACGTGCGTACTCCTTAACTGAGCGCGTGTCCACCGCCATGTTCTGTCGCGCCTGACGCACCAAGTAGCTCACAAGTAATTTTTCTGTCTTGAGAAGCACCTGGTTGTGGCAATACTTGATCATAGAAGCACCTGTAGACTTTGTGATGTTCATGTGCTCCTTTATCTTGGCTGCATCCTTCTTAATTGTCCTGATTGTAGACTCGTTAACACCATGCTGGCGCGCGAGATCAACCTGTCTTGTTCCTTTCTCCAAATCTTGTATGATCTTATATTTAATTTCGTAGCTTAAGGAATGTCGTGTCTTCTTTGGCTTAGGGCGGCTGGGTCCAGGTAATGCAAGGTTTCTTTGTGGTGGTGGTGGTGGTCCGGTGGAAGCCATTCTTATGGAACAATGGATACCGATATACACGGTGTAGCCTGGAGGGGTGTAACTGATGCGGTAGGTCGAGGGGCTTGAACGCTTCCGCGGCGGGGCATGTCATTAAACCAATCACAGCTAGCAGGGAGGGAGGTAAGGATGCTTTGCCCAATCACAGTCCGCTACGTCATATGACGTCACCGATAACGCAACAAAGACATACACTGCGCAACCTACTCGCGCCGCTTCCACAACATATATATATATATATATATATATATATATATATATATATATATATATATATATATATATATATATATATATATATATATATATATATATATATATATATATATATATATATATACAGTGGGGTATGCTATAACGAACGGATCCTACTACGAATATTCCTATAACGAACGGTTTTACCTATAAAATTGAGAATGCTATAACGAACGCAACTCCTACAACGAACGCGGATGAATACCGGACTATTTCGCCTGGCGCATGAATATTGTTGTACCGCGACCCACAACAAGAGCGTCAGGCGCCATCTTTGTCTCATTGTGTAGCCAGTGCACCACTGTTATTGTTGAAATTTCGTCTTTTGATGTGGAAATTCGCGTTATTTGTATAACTATTTTGTTATACAAGTATACAATTGTAACAATGAGTCGTCCAAAGCGAGTGAGAAAGCTAATAACCCTTGAAACTAAGAAAGAAATTATAAAGAAACGTGAGAATGGAAGAAGCATTGCGAAACTTAGTGATGAATATGGGATGGCTAAATCGACTATATGTACGATTTTGAAGAATAAAGAGGAGTTAAAAACTGTGCAAGTGGCTAAGGGAATCTTTAGACTTAGCAAAGCAAGGTGTAATGTGATTGAAGAGATGGAAAATTTACTCTTAGTGTGGATAAAGGAGAAAGAAATGGCAGGTGGTAACATTAGTGAAGCTATAATTTGTGAGAAGGCTAAACAATTGTTTGAGGACCTTAAAGCCAAGACTCCCAGTGGAAGTGATAGTGATGTGCCAGTGTTTAGGGGTACCTGCATGCTGAATAACACTAAGGTAAGATAAAGTACCGTATTTTTTACATTTTCCACAGAATTTTTTCAGTGTTAAGCGGTTGTATTTGGGGGCCTGGAACGGATTAATCCTATAACGAACGAGGTTCTGGAACCAATTACGTTCGTTATAGCATACCCCACTGTATATATATATATATATATATATATATATATATATATATATATATATATATATATATATATATATATATATATATATATATATATATATATATATATATATATATATATATATATACAGAGTGACCCCTCGTTTAACGAAATTTCGGTTGACGAACTGCCTTCCATAAGGATCTTCAATTCGGTTAACGAACAAAAATTCGGTTAACGAATTTCTTACGAACCGACCTCAACATGTTTTCGCTTGCACTGACCGGGCAACCAACTTTAGTATCAGTCCGCCAATACATTAATCGGTTCTAGGGCTTAAATTCCTTACTATTTTAGTCAATATCAAGAAGTTTATACTATTCAATAATTTTAAAAGTTTAATATTCAATTTTTTAATCATTTTAACAATTATTGAACATAATTGAAGGTAAAGTGACTAGTTTAATGCGCGGCATCCAGCCTCTTAACACAGCAAACAGGCATTAGTCTCTCTCTGTTTTCACTGGAGGTAACATCTTACTTGAGTCTCTCTTCAACTAAATGCTTTTTTTCTGTGTTTCCAAGCAAATTATTGGTCATTTTGAAATATATTTTACATATTGACAATATATAATGCAGTGCAGTGTTGATTTAAAGAAAATAATCTTGAATTACACCAAGAGAGCTAAAATTTTATGGGTGAAATGGCGCCATGGGGTGACTTCTCTTCCACCCCAATGCCTTCTCTTCTTCCTTCTCCTCCACCCCCATTCTAAATCCCATCATCATCATCATCATCATCCAGGAGCCTTCTACATACACACCTAAAGGTAAGTGAAATTTTCTACCATTTTTGTTGAATTTAGGAAATTTTCGGTGAGCTGGAACCAATTACCCAAAAACCCATTGAAACAATGGTTTCGGTTAACGAACTTTTCGGTTAACGAACGACCTTCTGGAACGGATTGAGTTCGTTAACCAAGGGGTCACTGTATATATATATATAATGTTGAAAACCGACGTCCTGTGAACCACCGCTTTGCATTAACCGATAATTACAAATAGGGGAAATACTCCGCAAGTTTCAGTGTTTTGAATTTGGCGGGAAGTGGTGTGACGTGAATTCTTGTCATGAGAGGGCTTTGCACACTGCCATGACTCATTCCCGCCATCTTTGCTCTTGTTTACGCTTACTCTGTGTCTCGGACTTCGTTATTTCCAATTTAGTGTGTTAGTCAGTCTTGCCTCAACACCCCAGTGACTGTTCCTCTTGTAATGGGCAGAAAGATGTTATGTGATAAGGTGTAATAAGACATAACAAAGCATAATCATAATAAGAGTGGCAATGAACCAGTAAAGGGTGGGAGAGACTTGAACTTACTCTCCTAGACCATGTCTACCATCCTCAACACAGGTAAATAAGTCTCAATTTATGCGCTACATTGCTTATTTAAGGCTTATTATGCTGCTTTATAAGTCTGCTTTATTTTCTTGCTTGACAATGTGCTTGATAAAGATATGTCAAGGGTAGATGGGAGTTTTGGGAGGGTGGCTGGCCTCTAACTACCTGAATTTGTTATGTTCTTATGGGATTAATTGCTTTGATAACCGTTGATTCACTAACCAAAAGCTTTTCTTGGTTCCCATATGCGTCAGTTATATGGGTACATCTGTACATGTAAAGCACAATTTTTAAGTTCACAAGCAATACAGGTAATAATAATGGGTTAACACTTTATTGACTCCATCACAACATGTAAATCTAGCTATATGTAGTACCAAATAAGCTTAACCTTTAACTCCTTCGCTACGGTGATGCCAACTTTTAATATTTTATTTGGCTTATGGGAGTTGTGCTACATTATTCAACTGAGAGGGGAAACCATACACAAGTAGTTGGTAGTGGTAGAGTATCTCTCTTGGCCTCTTCACTATGGTGTTGTCACTTTTAATATTTTATTTGGCTACCACCAGATGATTACATTCAGCTCAGAGGAGACCTCTTACACAAGCAATTAAACTGCGGCCGTCATCAATGGATGTTAGTTGTAGGGATAGAGGCCAACATCAATGGATGCTTCATGGTCCATGTGTTTCACATATGGGGGCATATTATGGAATCCTGGCTGCTGTTTAAGAGACACAGTAAGGTGACATAAGCTGCAGTGCTAATCATCATATGATCTATTTTTTGTACCACTGTAAATCAAATTCCTTCAATTGTATTCATTTCTTCATTATAGTGTAAAGTAACACATGTTTTATTTACAGCATCCAGCATCTGGTGTTATAGATGTGTTGGTTCTCATCCTGGCTGTGGCTTGTATGACTTTGACTGGCGGTATTATTGGAGCCACAGCTGCCCTGACCCAAATGACAAATGTGTTAAGGTCATAGAACAGAAAGGAGGTATGTGTCTGTTTTGAAAATTTTCTCAGAATATTACATTGCTTTTTCCAATGATCATACAGTATATAGATGAGTCAACATGCTAAGATTAAGCACCTTAAAACTATTCTCACCTAACCCCCAGGTAGCATTATGAAGTTTAATCATCAGGTAAAATAAGCTGGGGGCCTAATTTTTTATGATCATCTTTATATTTTACTCTTTAACTTAAGGTGGATGGCATTTCACTGAAGGTAATTTACTGTAGATATTGTACTGTGTTGTTGTGATTATTCATGAAATGTTTTGAGAGTTTTGGTGTTTCCACTGTGAAGGAGCTAGTGTATGAGAACTATAATCATTCAAGTTATGGAAACAGTGGTCTCCCTCCCTCCCTCTCTCTCTCCCTCCCTCCCTCCTCCTCCTCCCTCCTCCCTCCCTCCCTCCTCCCCTCTCTCTCTCTCTCTCTCCCTCCTCTCCCCTCTCTCTCTCTCTCTCTCTCCCTCCTCCCCTCCCTCTCCTCCCCCCTCCCCTCTCTCCCCTCTCCCCTCCCTCTCTCCCCTCTCCCTCCCTCTCTCCCTCCTCCCTCCCCTCCCCTCCCCTCCCCTCCCCTCCCCTCCCCTCCCCTCCTCCCTCCCCTCCCTCCCTCCCCCTCCTCCTCCCTCCCCTCCCCTCCCTCCCTCCCCTCCCCTCCCTCCCCTCCCCTCCCCTCCCCTCCTCCCCTCCCCTCCCCTCCCCTCCCCTCCCTCTCTCTCTCTCCCCTCTCTCTCCTCTCTCTCTCTCTCTCTCTCTCTCTCTCTCTCTCTCTCTCTCTCTCTCTCTCTCTCTCTCTGAGAGTTAGGTTTGCCAGATGTCTGGATAAGAACAATGGGAATGCATTATTAAGGCCTGTACAGTATTACATAAAGATGAGGCTATATCCCCTCCAGTTGTGGGTGATATGTAGAGATGAGTGATATATCCCATCAGGGCCTTTTAGAGTACACCTGTTAATGAGCCTCTTGCCCCTACAGTGGAGCTCATGGTGACCCGTGACTGTTTGAGTTATCTTGAAGGTCACCGACGAGACATCCCAGCTGACCGATACGAAGGATGCCGCACTGCTGCCGCAGATCCTCTCGTTGGACAATATATTTTTCCTTCCATCCCTGAGATTGACCACAAGAGGTGAACATATTCTGTAGTACCTGTTTAATTGCTTGAGATCCTATTAGGTAATATTATGAGTTAAAATAAAAATTATAATTAATAATAAAAGAACTGGGTGCAGGTACAGTGAAAAGGTTAATGAATGAAAAGAGATGCTGATGTGCAGACTTAAGAGAAATGAATAAGAATTCTAAATAATAGAATTCATAGTGGGAAGGTTGTGCTGGAATCCACTCCTGTCATAATCTGTACAGTAAATCTTTGATAAGACATGATTCGCTAAGACAGTAAATATATTTATACTCCTAGTTCAGGGTGTGTGTTCAGTGGGCTGCTTACAGGTATCAGTCTTGTGTTGCCTTTGTGATAAATGTTTATTCTGGTGGAAAAACTAAGTCAGGAGAGATTCCATTGAAATCTTGCCGAAACCTGGGAAGGCCATTAGAGTGTAGTAAAGGGTGAATTCTCCAGCAAGTCAACCCCTGAACATCATGCCAACAAATCCATTTTTAAGACAGTCAAAAGAAACAAGATAAGAATTGGCTCAATTTTTTATTTATTTATTTTTTGTAACCAAGGGATGCTGAGCAATAAAAAGAAAAAAGTAATAAACAAAAATTTATTCTAATAAAAAAGCTGGAAATTATTTCAGGTATTGTAGTATTATTATTTGTCAGCCAGTTATATGGGAAATCCATTAGATATGAACATTTGAGTCAGATTGGCTTTTAAAATTTTCCAGCTAGTTGTCGTCTTAATCAGATTGGCTTTTAAAATTTCCTAGCAAGTTAACGTCTTAATCAGATTGGCTTTTAAAATTTCCTAGCTAGTTAACGTCTCTTCATATCAAGTAAGCATATTTATTACAGCATTGCATTCACCCCTTTTGAGTGCTTTGAGATTAATGTTAAGCTTTCTTACAGGGAACACTACACCAACGTCACCTTCTGTTTCTGTGACTTTGACGAGAGATGCAACAGTGCCTCCAGCGTGATGTTCAGTGTCTTGTTACTAATTGGTCTGACATTTCCTCACCTCACCCTTTGGGGATAGAATTTTGTTATATATGGCTATGTATTTACATGCCGTTAATGTACTAAGATGTGTTCCGTATCTTCTTTTATATCAGTCACCATTGTAAGAGCGGTTTAGTTTTCAATAAAAGATGTGAAAAGATGTACGTATGTCCTTTGAAATTAGTTTATTTAGTGTATTTAATTTGAATTTTATATTGGTTCAATGTAGCTTCTAATATATTGTAATCTTATAATATTTTGTAATTATACAATACAAAAAAGTTTTGAGTTAATATTCTAATTGGAGAAGTATTGTTGTTCACATGGGAGACGGTCTCTCCTCCAGGGTTGAAATCAGGGTGTGGGTTTGAGGTCAGGGAAGTGATTGTAATCTTGTTTCATCCACTGTATATCCTGCATTTTGTTATTAATTTATTCTCCATCATTTATGGTGAATACCAAGTGATACATCTGTGAATGGAGGAAGAGCCTTATTGTAAGATTAAGATTGATAATTTACTAAATCAGTTGGGCCACAAGGCCGTGCAGCGTCATTGTCTGTTCTCTTTGTTTTATTGTGAACTATCAGCCAGAGGTTGGAAGGAGTGTCTACATATCCTGGTCTGTTAACCACAACCGTTATTTCAGAACGTGAGTCTGATTAATGGGCCGAGGAGTTGGAGCACTGCTGAAAGAGGAAGGTTATTCAGTAGTGGCCATGACAATTTGGACACAGATAGCATGTTGGCTTGATGGTTCTGATGTGGCAATATGTACATTATCAGTAAAGAGAAGATAATACGACAGAGATGATGTAGTTCAAAACACCCCAGGATTTCAGACTGAAGTGCTGTTTATGTCTTGTGTCTGACATTTTCTTGCTGCTCAGTATTTATTGTATACAGTATTAAATTTTATAACTTGCACCTCATTTTTCAAGATGTGGCTGCGATTGAAATTAAATTACTTTTTTTACTTCTTGTTTACTTTAAATATTCAGCAGTAATTTGTTTTATCTTCTTTTCTTCCTTTAGAACTACTATACCAAGTCTAATATAAATAGGTAGCCTTGAATATTTTATCCCTCTTTTATACTGGGAACAATTTTAGTGAAATGATCCGTCCATTCATTGTCACACATCTGTCCATACTTCTCATGTTGTTTAAGGTAAAAAAAATTGGAAGCTTTATCACCTCTTGTATGTAAGTGATGGTAGCTACTTAATGGCAGTGAATCTCTTCCTTTTGCATTGAGAGGTATTGATGTCTGTATATACGGTGATAATCATTAGCTTTTTACCTAATAACTTTGGGTGAATGAAGTACCTGAAATCCATAGAAAGCTCAAGCTTTTGTTTATTGATAATTTTTGACTGAAATATAGGATATCTGACTTGACATCCACAAAAAATCTGCTGAAAAAAAAGATCAGACAGGATGACTGAAAACTCAGAATGTCGAGTTGCTAGTTGAAGAAAGTTTGATCAAAGATTTCATAAGAAAAAAGTTGTGAATACAGTACAAGTTGTTACAGCTGTCTTCCACAATGTAGTTAAACCTCACTAACTTGAATATTGTATTGTATAAATTTGAACCTGTTTCCGAAGTTTGAAATTCCAAGCAACCTCCTAATAATTTGGCTGTTGTTCAGATTTCTGGCCTTAACTACCTACACACAGACCCTACCAAGTGAGCTAGCAGTTAGGTCTTAGAGCAGTAGTGCACATAAACTCTTGGCCTTATTTTGAACTTTTTAATTACTTTTGTGCTGAAATAATGTACAGTATAGTAGTAATTATAAATATCATGAATTTATGTGGTGAAACCCCAGTGAAAAATTTTAACATAGTACAGTACCTGTGAAGAAAATACATTTATGTCATATTACTTTCCAAAAATAATAATGGGAAACATAAAATGCAGCCACTCACTTACCTTACGGAATTTCCTCACACAAGCAGAATACTGGACAGGTAACCCTCAATATACGAACGTTTAAGATAAGAAAAATTCGCTTATATGAATTTCCTAAGCTACCACCTTTTTAGTTTTACAAAAGCTTTCCCCGCTTATACAAATTTTTATCCTGGCAAAAATTCAAATAGCACACCCCTGGGATTCAGCTGGGGTGGCCACTTCCTCATAGCGCTCTCTCTACCAGGCTGAGGAAGTTATGTTATGGATATTTTTCAACTTGTAATTTCAGTTATATAAACATAACTTTTTTATGTTTTTCATTCAGTTACATGCACACACAATCCTACATACAGAATGTGAAGAAAAAAATAAATAAAAAGATTATTATAAGGTCAAAAAGGAATTTTGTGCACCAGTGAGAGTTATCAGGATGAGCTGGGGAGAGTTATGTTATCATTACAATATTAAATTTATAATTTTGGGTAGATAAACTTAACTTTACTTCTTTTACTCGGTTACATGCACACACAATCCTGTATACTTACTGTGTAAAAAAGGTTAAGGAAATAACGATTATCAGGTCAAAAACATGAAGGGAATAGTCATTTCATTGTATGCAGGACCTGGAGGGGGAGCATTCTAGCCAGGCAGTGTTGCTTATGGCAACAGTTAAGGGTTTACACACGTAAAGCAGCCAGTGTCTATGCAAATGGTGCCTTTGGTAGCTGTTAGCTTTGATTTAGCTTTTCCTTAATAGTTTTAATTGTATATTTTCATATAGATAGTATTTTATTAATGTGTTAGGTACTAAATTACATTAATTTTACTATTTATCATTCATTACTTTTTTTGTATTTTTAACTGATTTCGTGGTTTGAGTGTATTATTTGAGATACAAAAATTCATTTAACTTTTTTGGGGGGGGGAACCTAACCCATTCGTATATCGAGGGACACCTGTACCTATACATATATATTTTTTTAATCCTATTATGCATGTGATACCTTTTATGGTCAGCCCTCAAGGCAAGTGATAAACAAATTAGGCAAACAAATTTATTAAAAGAATAATGAGTTCACGTTTATGTAAAAAAAAAAAGGATCATATCTGCATACTAATTTATCTATTGAAATATGGAAGTGCCACGGTCATGTTAAGGTGCATGTCAACCATTTATACATTCATAGAAACATGTACTAAGCCAGACCCAAGTTAATGAAAAAGAATTAAAAGATTTTTTTCTTCATTATTGTTATTGTATTATTATTATTATTATTACTGTTTTGTATTACATTATTTTTAACTGAGGATGACAGAGCTCACTGCTGAAAAATATGTTTTTGTGTGTGTGTGTACTCGGAGTTTTATGATGTAACCCTATTTACTATTGCATGATTTATGCTGTGCATGAGATAATTAATGAGTTAACTTCTTGAAAGTATGGAAATTACTTTACTTCAAAATTTTTCCCCATTTTGGTCAAATTAAGTACAGGTATTTTAAATTTGATGCTGGTGTAGTTGCATTCTGCCTGTCTTGTTCCAGTTGGCCCATAACACATTGAAACCCTGTCCACAATACTATACAATATTATAAATATGACGTGGTTTTACCTTCAGTGTTCAGGTTGAACATTTACAAAGAGAAATCATATAAACTAAGCACATAACTTTTCTCAGTAGAAGCTGAAGCACTGTGGGTAAAGGCATGGTGAAGCATTACACACAAACACACACACACACACACCTCTCTCTGTCACTCGGAATCGAGTATGACGATCATCCAGCTATGATAAAATGATACTAGTTATTAAGGATGTCACGTAGGTTGGTGAGTTATGAGGTGACAAGAGAGGCCGATACGGGACCGGCAGAGTTGTTCACAAATGTTGCACATGTGGAGGTCTACATCGAGTGCGGGAGAGGCGGTGGCAGCGTCTTTCTGGCGTTGGCGCTTGTCTGCCTTGGTTTGCAGTTGGGCTAGCTCTAAAGCATTGACCCCTTCTCGTGCGGTGCTCCTCTAAACATTACAGTGTGGAGTAATCGTCTCCCAGGTGAGGGGGTCGATTTGGCAATTTTTCAGGTTTGTTTTAAGACTCGTTCTACCTTACCAGTAACCCACCAGCGTTACGTTTACTATTCGTTAGGTGACTGTACAATTGCCACTTTGGCAGTCTACTGTCGTCCCTGCGGGTAACATGGCCAGTCAAATGTAGTTGTTCATGGATAATGGTTGCCTCGGTGCTCCTACAGTTGATGTCAGCGAGAATATTGACACTGTTCTCTCGTCTTCCCAGCGAACTCGGAAGATGGAACGTAGATTACGTTGATGAAAGTTTTCAAGTGCCTTGAGGTGCTTCCTGTATGTGACCCATGTCTCGCTGCCATATAGGCTCGAGATGCACACCTGATCCGATGTTGAATCTCTTCATTGATGTCCGTGGTGGTGGACAGGTGGGAACCAAGACACTAAAAGTGGGTAACATTAGGGAGGGTAGTACCCTTAAGCTGGATGGATGGTGGAGGTGTGGCTGAACCAGGGGTAGCTCGTAAGAGGATCCGAGTCTTACGTACATTTACTTTAAGGCTGAAGTGTGCATACGCATCTGCGTAGGTGTTCAGGATATCCTGTAGGTTGCATTCAGTGTGAGTGACAAGGGTGAGGTTGTCTGCATACTGAAGTTCAGTTGTGGAAGCTGCAGATACCTTTGTTCCTGCCTGGAGTCATCATATGTTGAAAAGGTCCTTCATCCGGTACTTGATGTTCACCCCGCTGGCTAAATTGGCATTAGCACGAGTAAGGAAGGCCGCCAAGAAGATGGAAAAGAGGTTTGGTGCCAGTACACATCCTTGTTTTACCCCTATTTGAATGGGGAAGAACTCAGACTGGGTGCCATTGTGTAGGACACTGCAGTTCATTCCATCATGGAATTGCCTCACAATAGCAATGAATTTTGGTGGGCAGCCAAAACGGCTGAGGGGCCGCCAGAGGGCTTCCCTGTTGACCGAGTCGAAGGCCATATACAGGTCACGAGGCTGTTCTCTGCACTTTTCCTGTATCTGGCGGGCAACAAAGATGATGTCAGTGGTGCCAAGTGATGGTCTAAAGCCACATTGAGATTCTGGGAGGAAGTTTTCCACCTCAGGAAGAAGTCTGTTTAGGAGGACTCGGGCGATAATCCTGCCAGCTACGGACAGCATAGAGATCCCGCAGTAGTTGCCACAGTCTGACCGGTCTCCCTTGTTCTTATAAATATTGATGATGTAGGCATCTTTAAGAGCTTGGGGGATTTCCTCTTTTTCCCATATATTCTCCAGGAGAGAGTGGAAATAGCTGGTAAGCAGAGGTCCTGCTTTATATACACCTCAACTGGGATTCCATCAGGCCCTGAGGCTTTGTAATTTTTCATCTTTTTGATGGCAGTAGCTACCTCATCCAGGGATGGAGAACAGCTGAGGTGGGTCAGTTCTGGATATCCACATTGGTGTTTCGATTGAGCAGCGAATGGTAGTGCTCTTTCCAATGGTTTAGGATGCCTTTTCATCTTTAATAAGGGAGTTACCGTTGGCTGAGCGGAGGGGGGCTGTGCCATGAGTGATTGGCCCATAAAATATTTTATTGTAATTTAAAAATTCGAGCATCTTTTGTAGTTCTGCAAGTTTTTGGGTTTCACATGCTTTATATTTAAACCAGTCGTTCTTTAGATTGCGAAGGGTCGCGCTGGGCTGCTGCTTTTTTCTTGCGGAAGGTATTGACTTTGGTTCGAGACTACGTGTAAGTGTTGTTCTGCCAGTTATTTAAAGCAGCACATTTATCATTGACGAGTACATTGATTTCCGGGTAATTTTCATTAAACCAGTCCTGGTGTATACTTTTGATCTGGCCAAGGGTCTCCGCAGGTTTTTGTCATGACAGTGTTGAGAATACCCCATTTGGCACTGGAATTTGGGTTGTTTGTTGTCGGGTTGTTTATCAGCCCATGTTCAAGCTGCTCTAAAAGCATGTGCTACCGCTGGATCCTCCAAACTCTTAGTGTTAAAACCTCTTCTGGAGGCTTGCTGCCTTTGCCGTTTTGGGGCGACATGAAGTGAGAGATTGGCTCTGACGAGCCAATGATCAGTGTCACAGTGGTCTGAGCCATGCATGACTCAGGTGATGAGGACATCTTGGCAATCTCTTTCTCTGACAATATGTAGTCAATGAGATGGTAGTGTTTGGATCGTGGGTGTTCCTACGAACCCTTGTACTTATCGGCCTGCCTAAACAAGGTATTGGTGATAGTGAGGTTGTTTGCAGCACACTTGCTGAGGAGGAGTAGGCCACTGGGGTTACACTTGCCTAGTACATTTTTCCTACGATTCTCTGCCAACTCTGCCATTGAAGTCACCTAGGAGCACAACCTTATCTTTTTTGGAGATAGAGGTTAACACTGTTAAGGTCAGCATAAAAGGCCTCTTTGATTTCATCCTCTGCATCCAGTGCTGGGGTGCTAAATTTTTAGGTAATCAATGTAAAGGAAACATTCAGGTTTCTATCATCAGACCTTTGGTAACACTTCAGGCTTAGTGACATAAAATTCCAGAGTTTGGAAAATTTGTCTCGAGGTTTATTTGTTGAGACTGTTATTTGTATGGCAGCTTTGAAATAAGTCAGGCCACAATTTTCAATTTGGTTTGACACTGCAACCTCCATCACAGACATGGCCAGTTGATAGTTCTAGGATAGTCTACTTTAACAGTAAACTTCATTATAAATCACTTGAACATACAAAATCTCTTTCAAATATTCCAAGTCCATTCTAGAGTTAATGTCCATTAGTGGAATAATTTACAAGTTATATATCATATGGTTTGTTTATCCAGTATGGGCAGGCAGGTTTGTGTTGTTAGTTATCCCTCACAATGATCGAGCACCACAGAAAGCTGTGTGGTGAAGATGCCTTACATATATATTTCCAGGATGAAATGTTTAAATGGCAAAGTCTTTTTCAGTGTGCTTGTATTGAAGAAAATGTTTGTTTTATACAGTACTGTGTACAATATTTGTATTTTTGTTTAGCATAATTGTGGTAATGGAGAAAACAGTCATATGTCATATAATCTCAAACAATGATACTACATATACCCTTCAGGTCGAACTTTATTAAATTTTCTGTACATTATACTAATGATTTGTTTAATAAAGATGCTGCTGGAAGGAATACAGTATTAGTGATCAAATATTACACAACTGTGTGGTGAAGTTACTTCCAGGATGAGCAGTTTAAACATTTTAATATTGTACAATACTGTATTTTAATATTAGCTCTAAAGATTTATATATACAGTCAGTATTTTTATGATTTTTGTCTGTATTTTCAACAAGATCATGTCATGAATATACAGTACAGGTACTTATGATTGTACCAGGTAAATTACTTAGTAGATTCCTACATAGAAAGCACAGTGATATTTTTCTCTTCAAATGATTTAATTGCATTAGGACCGAAGTTGAAATACAGGTATACATATTTTATTGCATATAAGAGAAAATTATCATTATCATAAGTATACCTCAAAAAAATCATCATACATGAATGAGAATTATCAAACATCTGGCAACCCAGTCATGAACTCATTCAGCCTGTGATAGTTAACTCGCAGCTCTTTGGAGGTAGGCACCAGCCTCTTTCCCTGGTACTGTACCACATTTATGTAGATGAAAAACTATTTGAAATGGAAGGAGAACTATGATGGCAAAGATATAAAAGGTGAATTAACAAAGTTCTATGTCACAAAATCTATAATTCAAGTCATCACATTATTGGTAACTACTTCAGTATAACAAGTCATAAGCAATATTTTAATGGAATATACTGTGGGAATTTCTTATTAATTTTACCTGTCCATCAGACTTATGTATATTGTTTTTTTTTTTTTTTTTACCATTTCCCATCAGCCTCGAGTACTAAGAATATTTATACATCACAAAAACACATCTCTCCTTTTCTATACATTTAAAGAGTATTGTACTGTATAGTACAGTAATTATAAAGTTGTAATTTCCAAAATAATTGAGATTGAATAAAGTTCTATTAGTTATTAACATTTTGAAAAGAGTTTTCAGGTGTTATGTATAGTACTGTATAATTTTTTTTCTCAATAGTATAAGAATTACTAAAGTGTTGAGTAGTGTTCAGTATTGTTACAGCATTGATGTTCTTTTTTATCCTAATCAGAGTTGTAAAAAGTATCAGACTTTGTTACTGAA